ATGTTATACGAGGGGAATTCTTACTGGGATCTATTTTTTTTTTCTATTTTGTCTGTATATGACATGCAGTGGTTGATAAGTAGCGAAATTTGATGCTGTAGGTGTTTGAAGGAACCAGATATTACAAAAAGGTTATGGTAGGGACCAAATATATGTTTCGTTTGAGTTCTTCAGGGTAGAAGAAGTTATATAATGAAACAGCAACCCTAATGCATGAAATCTCTAAAAATACTTTTCAGAACCTTGCACTTGGATCATATTTTTAACTTTTAATATCGAAATTGTTTCATTGTAAAGCAGGTGTTGTGTGTGCGCATTAAAATGTGAATGCATATAAGCCTTGTCACATTTTCTGCCAGTGCTTCCCGTATGCTTGTATATTGAATTATATTTTTAGACATTATTCTTTGTCAAAGCATGTAAATCCTGTGGGATCAATCATTTGAGTTGCTCCAATTGTTGAATAAACTTGAAAATGAAAAATGCAAGAGATTAAAAGGGGGAGGGAACTAACAATAATAGATTGTATTTATGCTCATTGATAATTGGAAAAGAACATTTAAAGAGTCAAGAGCCCTCTGTTTCTAGAACAAAGAAATAATGTGTAACCAGCATTCCAATGCATGAACCAATATCCTTAGCAAAATAAACATGAACTTTGAATACCTTAAAGAATAATTTAATCAATATCCATNATATATATATATTCATGTGATAGACATGTGCATCTGAGTCAATTACCTTCTAATAATCCATGTTCTCTGCTTAAACCATGGTTTAAACATCACTTAATTTAGTTAATAAAAACAAAATCTTCAACCTGGATCAGTCATTTAGCAGAGTAGAATTCCTTTCACACAGCAATAACTTTCTTGAGTATACTGTGTGCCTAATCATTTGTGTTTTGTCATCTTTCACCATTTTTAAAATGTCATCATGTTTTCAGTACAATCATGTGAAAACCTTACACCTTAATTTGATGAAGATCTCCTTGCACTATAAACTATAGGGTTTTCTTTCAATTTTTAACCCAACTATACTTAGCATGTCAGACGCATTTGAAAAAACTATCACTCCTTTAAGATCTAAACTTGGCAAGTTTTGTTTACATCCTCGATTTTTTGTACTCAAGATTCTTCTTGTGTTGCTGAGATTGGAAGATGGGATGAGTATAAACTAAGAAATTCGGCACTGTTGAAGATTTTTATTTAATCCTCTCACATGACAGTTCCAAGCCACCTTTAAGATTTATACAAGAAAGTTCAAATTACACTAATTAATATATATATATTAAGTAATTATTATATATATATATATATATCAAGCTAATTATTATATTATTCAGTAACTTCTTTTAAATTGATCTGACTACTAAATTGTAATTAGTAATAAAAGAAAACAATCGGATGAAAGGAAAATAATTATACATGAAGTCAGCGCATACAAACTAAAATATAAAGTAAAAGATTCTCGTTACTAAGTTACATGAGTCTTTTATCTTTTGTTTAAAATTCTAGGTTCTTTCATGAGACCTAATGACTCGTCAAATATTTGATAGCATCAAAATGATCAAAATCTGGATGCAGGACACGAAGGATTAACAATATGTAATATTTTGTCTAATTTCTTCTTAATATTCTCTAATGAGTCCGTTTCCAAAAACATCTTTCTCTAATGAGTCCATTTCCAAAAACATCTTGAATTTTTTGAGAGCAAATTGGGCTTCAGCCATAAATGATATCATATCATGGTTTGTCATTTTAATATATGCAAGCTTGTTTGTTGTCCTTGACATAGATGCTTTGAGCTTTCTTTCAAAAGGAGTGACAAGTTTTGAAAGCTCTTAGAGATATAAGAAGTTTGGGCTCCATTGATTGCCATAGCAGAACACACAACTGGAAATCTGCTTGTTTCCACTGGTCAACTTTACATGGTTGTTATCTTGCTTAAGGTGATCATAATGACCTTGACCAAGAAACCACATCTCAACAGCAACCGACCAAGATAAGTAATTTTTTCCATTTAACTTTTCTGACGTGATGAAGGGACTTCATAAAAAAGAGATGGCACTTCTAAATGCCATTTCAGATCAAGGGATAAAGAATCCAAAGGAGAAACCACAAAACTCTAGGTGACTATCGAAAGGGTTCCTTCTGGAGGTTAACAGAACATTGTTCTTAAGGGCAGAGGAGAGAGGAGAGACTTGCGAAAGTTATGGAGGTGGCGCGGTGGCGTTCTAGCAAGCAAACAGTGTGAGCAGCATGCGGCGCACAGAGATACTACGCATGACGGCGCGTGGAGGAGAACTGGACTCCGACACCGGTGGGGTTGGCTGTCGCGCGGAGAGGCAAACCAGATCTGGTGGTCACGTAACGAAATTGTGACGATGGCCAGCGGCAGACGACGGTGAACGATGGCAGACAGTGGCAAACGGCGTCGAAATGGCAGAGAATAGCGGTTGATGATGACAAACTGCAGTGGATAGCTCCTCACAGTGGCAAAACAATGTGAGACAATGGCAGACAACAGCAAACAGCGTCAACGATAAACGAAGTCGGATAGTTGCGGACAACAACTAGGGTAGAAGACTAGACAGAAACTAGAACAGGATCGACTCGCTTTGATACCAACTTGAGATTGAAACTGTAAAATAATTCTAGAGGGCTTGAAAGATCCCTCTCACTCATTCTATATATAGGAAAGTTATGATACAAATGTACATGAAAGATTACGAGTCTACCCCTAGACCCCTAGGTGTAGACCTAGGTACTACTATATATACTAGACACACTATAATGATGACAAATAGGATAAATATTCTAACAAAGAGTTGAAACTAAACTTACGCGAACAAAGAAACTAATCGGTCCAAATTGAAGAGTTCGCTGCAAAGATTAATCATATGGTCTCTCAGTTCTTCAACCTACGAGCATAAAAAAGTCAAAGAACTCTGAAAAAGTGATTTTTAAATAAATAATATGTTTTAAAATAATAAAACTTATTCATAACAAAATTACTTTTATAAAAATATTTTAATATTAANCAATTTTACATGGTTGTTATCTTACTCAAGGTGACCTTGACCAAGAAACCACATCTCAACAGCAACTGACCAAGATAAGTAATTTTTTCCATTAAACTTTTCTGACGTGATGAAGGGACTTCAGAAAAAAGAGATGGCACTTCCAAACGCCATTTCAGAGCAAGGGATAAAGAATCCGAAGGAGAAACCACAAAACTCTAGGTGACTATCGAAAGGGTTCCTTCTGGAGGTTAACAGAAGATTGTTCTTAAGGGCAGAGGAGAGAGGAGAGACTTGCGAAAGTTATGGAGGTGGCGCGATGGCGTTCTAGCAAGCAAACGGTGTGAGCAGCATGCGGTGCACATAGATACTACGCATGACGGCGCGTGGAGGAGAACTGGACTCCGACACCGGTGGGGTTGGCTGTCGCGCGGAGAGACGAACCAGATCTGATGGTCACCTAACGAAACTGTGACGATGGCCAGCGGCAGACGACAGTGAACGATGGGAGACAGTGGCAAACGACGTCGAAATGGCAGAGAATAGCGGTTGATGATGACAAACTACAGTGGATAGCTCCTCACAGTGGCAAAACAGTGTGAGATGATGGTAGACAACAGCAAACAACGTCAACGATAAACGAAGTTGGATAGTTGCGGACAACAACTAGGGTAGAAGACTAGACAGAAATTAGAACAAGATCGACTCGCTCTAATACCAACTTGAGATTGAAACTGTAAAATAATTCTAGAGGGTTTGAAAGATCCCTCTCACTCATTCTATATAGGAAAGTTCTGATACAAATGTACATGAAAGATTACGGGTCTGCCCCTAGATCCCTAGGTGTAGACCTAGGTACTACTATATATACTAGACACACTGTAATGATGACAAATAGGATAAATATTCTAACAAAGAGTTGAAACTCAACTTACGGGAACAAAGAAACTAATCGGTCCAAATTGAAGAGTTCGCCGCAAAGATTCATCATATGGTCTCTCAGTTCTTCAACCTACGAGCATAGAAAAATCAAAAAACTCTGAAAAAGTGATTTTTAAATAAATAATATGTTTTAAAATAATAAAACTTATTCATAACAAAATTACTTTTATAAAAATATTTTAATATTAAAATCTTCTCTTACTATTTTTAAACTAGTCTTACATATGAGATCTTTACAATGTGAATTTAATTTGTAAAAAATTTTATATTGAGTCCATTTTCAAATTTTTATTTATAAACTTTTAAAATTTATTTGTAATCATGTATATAATTATTAAAACAATTATAATCATAACCGTATGTGTTAAACAAATAGGGAATAACGTTTTTTATAAAACAAATTATAAGTTATTTTTTAATAATTATAAACAAAAAGAAAAAACATATATTTAAATAATCATACATGTAAAAAGAAAAAAAAATAATGTTATTTATGTAAATATTTGACAAAATAGATATTGAGAAAAAAAAAATTGCTCCACCCGTGTCCAATTTTAGTAAATTATTATTTGGTATTAAAAGAGAAATATATTAGTATTTATGATACTAAATTGATTTATTATTATAAAAATATTATTAAATTATTAAAAATATTACAAAAATATATATAAGTAAATTTTATTTTTGTTGTAGATAATTTTTATTTATTTTATAAATATATTATAAATAATTATTTTAATTTAAAAGATTCTTAAAAAGATAAAACTTTAGAAAATTATAACACTAAAAAAAGTCCTATAAGTAAATATTCCAAGAAACACTAAAAATATCATCAAATAAAATATTTTTCATAATCCTGTTATACCATATTAATTACTTCCTATAAATATTCATATAGGTTGCTATGGATTTACATTTGTTAGCCACTATTTCCAGTCTTATCTTTAAAAAATATATAAACTATTTTATTCTTAAATATGAATAAACATTAACTATTTTTTCCTCGTTTAATTAACTGAACTATTTTTTTCCCTGTCATTGCTGTGGTTTCCTTCAACCAAACCAAAACCAAATCTGTTTTCTCTAGTCGTTTGCTTTTTGTGTCCACTCGAATCGATTAGACTCTACTATATAACACGTACGAGGAACACATCCAACACCCTCTGACTCTGTCGTTTTCTCTCACTCAACTGAAAAACTAAAACCCATTTTCTTCTCCAAAACCTTCCACTTTCTCCAACCCAAACGCGCTTGCGAGCATATCTTCTTCGCTCTCTTACCCGTTTTTCTAATCTTCTCGCTCTGTCCAATTCCAACACTCCCGGTGAGCCTCATTGCCCTCTAGGGTTTTCTTTTTCTTATTACCTCAACCTGTCGAATATGTTGCCAGAAAAAAGAAATTGATTTTTAAAATTTGTTTAGCGATATTCGAAGGGGTTCATAGTTTTTTAATTGGCTGTTATTATTATGTTGAAAATGATTTGTTTCAGGGACTTTCCTGAAATTGGGCACTGTGACATTGATGTGCACAATGTTCAGCTAGGGTTTAAGTTTAACTCCTTATTTTTCCGGATTGGCACTTTCAGAATATCGAACGAAAAGTGACTGAGGCGAAAAAAATATTTTTTGATGTAGGGCGTGTGAATTTTCTGTTTTGTTTATACAGTGTTAATGTCAATTTTGTATATAGATTTGTTATGATTTTAATGCAAATGGATACCCTTCTGTTGGTATTGGGTATGTGCTTAGTAATTTGTAAACGTGTGAAGTTAGAGCACGATTGGTGGCCCATATTACTGTGGAAAAGGGTTACTGAGGTTAGGTTTTGATGGCGTTGGTGTATGGAGGCTGTTTAAGTTGGTAAGGGGACAGAACTTGAACTTGAATCCTGTGAGTAATCAGATAGGAATTATTTTCTTGGTATTTGTGCCTGTAGATGCAACATCTGTATTTGAAATGCATGGAATTGGAATTTGTTACCACATGTTATACGAGGGGAATTCTTACTGGGATCTATTTTTTTTTTCTATTTTGTCTGTATATGACATGCAGTGGTTGATAAGTAGCGAAATTTGATGCTGTAGGTGTTTGAAGGAACCAGATATTACAAAAAGGTTATGGTAGGGACCAAATATATGTTTCGTTTGAGTTCTTCAGGGTAGAAGAAGTTATATAATGAAACAGCAACCCTAATGCATGAAATCTCTAAAAATACTTTTCAGAACCTTGCACTTGGATCATATTTTTAACTTTTAATATCGAAATTGTTTCATTGTAAAGCAGGTGTTGTGTGTGCGCATTAAAATGTGAATGCATATAAGCCTTGTCACATTTTCTGCCAGTGCTTCCCGTATGCTTGTATATTGAATTATATTTTTAGACATTATTCTTTGTCAAAGCATGTAAATCCTGTGGGATCAATCATTTGAGTTGCTCCAATTGTTGAATAAACTTGAAAATGAAAAATGCAAGAGATTAAAAGGGGGAGGGAACTAACAATAATAGATTGTATTTATGCTCATTGATAATTGGAAAAGAACATTTAAAGAGTCAAGAGCCCTCTGTTTCTAGAACAAAGAAATAATGTGTAACCAGCATTCCAATGCATGAACCAATATCCTTAGCAAAATAAACATGAACTTTGAATACCTTAAAGAATAATTTAATCAATATCCATAAAGAAATAATGTTTGTAACCAGCATTCACTTATAAAGAAACATCTCTTTCGATGTGTGAATTAATATCCTTAACAAAATAAACTTCAACTTTGAATCCTTAAAGAAATAATTTGCGTAACCAGCATTCAGTAACAAAGAAAATTCTCTTCCAATGCATGCGTCAATATCCTTAACAAAATAAACTTGACCTTTGAATCTCTGGAACGTGTCATTCTTGTTTCTTATATGAAGCTCCATTTGTATTAAACAATGTTAGGTACTGATGATGATCTTTCTTCCTCAGATCAAAATAGAGTTGTGAGATCTAGCAGTGTTACTGGGAATGAAAAATCTTCTGTAGGTTCTGTTACACACTTTAATTTGCACTTTGACATGGAGGCTCAAATTCATCAACTTGAACAGGAAGCTTACTCTGCTGTCTTGCGTGCTTTCAAAGCTCAGTCTGATGCTCTTACATGGGTATATACCATCGGTTCCCTCCATGTATTTATTGTTATCTTATTTTTGTATTTTGCTGTGTTAAATATTCATCTCCTGTATTTTATTTTATGTATTTATCAGGAGAAGGAAGGTTTGATAACTGAGCTTAGAAAAGAGTTGAGGGTTTCAGATGATGAACACAGAGAGCTTCTTACTAGGGTTAACTCTGATGAAATAATACACCGCATTAGGTTTGGAGATTATTTGAATAGTTGCAATAGTTTAAAAAAACATTATTTTTGGCCATTTTTCTGCTACTTCTATAATGTTATGTGATTGAAATTCAACCAGGGAGTGGAGACAAACTGGTTGTTACCAACCTGCAAGACGTAGCACATCTCAGCCTGTTCATGACATTTTACCTAGTCCAACTGTTTCAGTGTCCCGAAAAAAGCAGAAGACATCCCATTCGGTACCACCTTCTATTTTGTAATATATGATGTGATGTGGGCTCTAAGAGCAAAATTTTTTGTGTTCATATTCAGTGTCTGCATTTTTAAGTGGTGCTTTAGGATCCAGATATAAAAGATATATTAATGTTCCTTTGGTTTTAATTTTCCACCATTATTGGCACCAGGGTCAGTCCTTGCCTGCTTTATCTTCAGTGAAGTCTGTGCAGTATACTTCTGCGGGACCAACTGGAGGTAGGCATTTTTCAAATCGCAACGCTAGTGCTCTTGCATCCAATCCACCCGCCGAAGCAGCAGCATTTGATCCATTGATTGGGAAGAAAGTTTGGACTAGGTGGCCTGAAGATAACCACTTTTATGAGGCTGTTGTAACTGATTACAACCCTGCTGATGTATGTTTAGATCTTAAAATAGTTCTGAAAATTCTTGATTACTGCATTTATATTTTANTTAGTAAATTATTATTTGGTATTAAAAGAGAAATATATTAGTATTTATGATACTAAATTGATTTATTATTATAAAAATATTATTAAATTATTAAAAATATTACAAAAATATATATAAGTAAATTTTATTTTTGTTGTAGATAATTTTTATTTATTTTATAAATATATTATAAATAATTATTTTAATTTAAAAGATTCTTAAAAAGATAAAACTTTAGAAAATTATAACACTAAAAAAAGTCCTATAAGTAAATATTCCAAGAAACACTAAAAATATCATCAAATAAAATATTTTTCATAATCCTGTTATACCATATTAATTACTTCCTATAAATATTCATATAGGTTGCTATGGATTTACATTTGTTAGCCACTATTTCCAGTCTTATCTTTAAAAAATATATAAACTATTTTATTCTTAAATATGAATAAACATTAACTATTTTTTCCTCGTTTAATTAACTGAACTATTTTTTTCCCTGTCATTGCTGTGGTTTCCTTCAACCAAACCAAAACCAAATCTGTTTTCTCTAGTCGTTTGCTTTTTGTGTCCACTCGAATCGATTAGACTCTACTATATAACACGTACGAGGAACACATCCAACACCCTCTGACTCTGTCGTTTTCTCTCACTCAACTGAAAAACTAAAACCCATTTTCTTCTCCAAAACCTTCCACTTTCTCCAACCCAAACGCGCTTGCGAGCATATCTTCTTCGCTCTCTTACCCGTTTTTCTAATCTTCTCGCTCTGTCCAATTCCAACACTCCCGGTGAGCCTCATTGCCCTCTAGGGTTTTCTTTTTCTTATTACCTCAACCTGTCGAATATGTTGCCAGAAAAAAGAAATTGATTTTTAAAATTTGTTTAGCGATATTCGAAGGGGTTCATAGTTTTTTAATTGGCTGTTATTATTATGTTGAAAATGATTTGTTTCAGGGACTTTCCTGAAATTGGGCACTGTGACATTGATGTGCACAATGTTCAGCTAGGGTTTAAGTTTAACTCCTTATTTTTCCGGATTGGCACTTTCAGAATATCGAACGAAAAGTGACTGAGGCGAAAAAAATATTTTTTGATGTAGGGCGTGTGAATTTTCTGTTTTGTTTATACAGTGTTAATGTCAATTTTGTATATAGATTTGTTATGATTTTAATGCAAATGGATACCCTTCTGTTGGTATTGGGTATGTGCTTAGTAATTTGTAAACGTGTGAAGTTAGAGCACGATTGGTGGCCCATATTACTGTGGAAAAGGGTTACTGAGGTTAGGTTTTGATGGCGTTGGTGTATGGAGGCTGTTTAAGTTGGTAAGGGGACAGAACTTGAACTTGAATCCTGTGAGTAATCAGATAGGAATTATTTTCTTGGTATTTGTGCCTGTAGATGCAACATCTGTATTTGAAATGCATGGAATTGGAATTTGTTACCACATGTTATACGAGGGGAATTCTTACTGGGATCTATTTTTTTTTTCTATTTTGTCTGTATATGACATGCAGTGGTTGATAAGTAGCGAAATTTGATGCTGTAGGTGTTTGAAGGAACCAGATATTACAAAAAGGTTATGGTAGGGACCAAATATATGTTTCGTTTGAGTTCTTCAGGGTAGAAGAAGTTATATAATGAAACAGCAACCCTAATGCATGAAATCTCTAAAAATACTTTTCAGAACCTTGCACTTGGATCATATTTTTAACTTTTAATATCGAAATTGTTTCATTGTAAAGCAGGTGTTGTGTGTGCGCATTAAAATGTGAATGCATATAAGCCTTGTCACATTTTCTGCCAGTGCTTCCCGTATGCTTGTATATTGAATTATATTTTTAGACATTATTCTTTGTCAAAGCATGTAAATCCTGTGGGATCAATCATTTGAGTTGCTCCAATTGTTGAATAAACTTGAAAATGAAAAATGCAAGAGATTAAAAGGGGGAGGGAACTAACAATAATAGATTGTATTTATGCTCATTGATAATTGGAAAAGAACATTTAAAGAGTCAAGAGCCCTCTGTTTCTAGAACAAAGAAATAATGTGTAACCAGCATTCCAATGCATGAACCAATATCCTTAGCAAAATAAACATGAACTTTGAATACCTTAAAGAATAATTTAATCAATATCCATAAAGAAATAATGTTTGTAACCAGCATTCACTTATAAAGAAACATCTCTTTCGATGTGTGAATTAATATCCTTAACAAAATAAACTTCAACTTTGAATCCTTAAAGAAATAATTTGCGTAACCAGCATTCAGTAACAAAGAAAATTCTCTTCCAATGCATGCGTCAATATCCTTAACAAAATAAACTTGACCTTTGAATCTCTGGAACGTGTCATTCTTGTTTCTTATATTAAGCTCCTTTTGTATTAAACAATGTTAGGTACTGATGATGATCTTTCTTCCTCAGATCAAAATAGAGTTGTGAGATCTAGCAGTGTTACTGGGAATGAAAAATCTTCTGTAGGTTCTGTTACACACTTTAATTTGCACTTTGACATGGAGGCTCAAATTCATCAACTTGAACAGGAAGCTTACTCTGCTGTCTTGCGTGCTTTCAAAGCTCAGTCTGATGCTCTTACATGGGTATATACCATCGGTTCCCTCCATGTATTTATTGTTATCTTATTTTTGTATTTTGCTGTGTTAAATATTCATCTCCTGTATTTTATTTTATGTATTTATCAGGAGAAGGAAGGTTTGATAACTGAGCTTAGAAAAGAGTTGAGGGTTTCTGATGATGAACACAGAGAGCTTCTTACTAGGGTTAACTCTGATGAAATAATACACCGCATTAGGTTTGGAGATTATTTGAATAGTTGCAATAGTTTAAAATATCATTATTTTTGGCCATTTTTCTGCTACTTCTATAATGTTATGTGATTGAAATTCAACCAGGGAGTGGAGACAAACTGGTTGTTACCAACCTGCAAGACGTAGCACATCTCAGCCTGTTCATGACATTTTACCTAGTCCAACTGTTTCAGTGTCCCGAAAAAAGCAGAAGACATCCCATTCGGTACCACCTTCTATTTTGTAATATATGATGTGATGTGGGCTCTAAGAGCAAAATTTTTTGTGTTCATATTCAGTGTCTGCATTTTTAAGTGGTGCTTTAGGATCCAGATATAAAAGATATATTAATGTTCCTTTGGTTTTAATTTTCCACCATTATTGGCACCAGGGTCAGTCCTTGCCTGCTTTATCTTCAGTGAAGTCTGTGCAGTATACTTCTGCGGGACCAACTGGAGGTAGGCATTTTTCAAATCGCAACGCTAGTGCTCTTGCATCCAATCCACCCGCCGAAGCAGCAGCATTTGATCCATTGATTGGGAAGAAAGTTTGGACTAGGTGGCCTGAAGATAACCACTTTTATGAGGCTGTTGTAACTGATTACAACCCTGCTGATGTATGTTTAGATCTTAAAATAGTTCTGAAAATTCTTGATTACTGCATTTATATTTTACCTGGTGAACACATTTGAATCGTCACTGGACTGATTGTCATTTGAATTTGATGTTTAGGTCCTTTAGGGTGACCTATGTAGTTGAGTTTTTTTGGCCACATGTAAGATGCCTTTGGTTTTGTTTCCCCATGCACAGAGAATGACCAGTATGCAAACATTTTATATTTATTTCATTTAGGATAAATGTGTCTCTCTTTATTGTTTCTAAACTCTTGTAGGATAATAATGAAGTATTCACCTTTTAATCTAGATGGAAATAAAAAAGCTGAAGTGTGATTAGAACCCAATCCTGAAAGTGCATGGCAGCATGATAGGCTTTTTTTTTAATAACTTTTCAGTAATTTTTTATCCTAGCTTTTCGTTTGTTTCTTTCTCGCAGGGTCGGCATGCTTTGGTTTATGATATTAATAAAGTACATGAGACTTGGGAATGGGTTGATCTCAAAGAGGTATATATTTCGTATGTTGTGCTGCATATATAACAGCAGTAATTAATTAGGTTTTTAAATTTTATTTAAGGTTGTGATTTTGATAGGCCAGTTAATAGTTATTTAAGGTAGGGTAGTTAGTCAAAGAAATACCAAGGATTATGTTAGAAAGTAGGGAAATGGGCCCATTAAGGGTGTGGGTTTATGTTAGCAAACATGTAGCTGTATATAAATAGAAAGAGGGCTGAGAAGTATTTGTCTTGTCATTTAACACCCTCTTTGAGTGATAATTTTTGCTGTATGTGCATACACCCTCATACATTGTGAACGTGTAAGCTGTTTGTGCAAAATCATGTTTCTTGTAANTGGCCTGAAGATAACCACTTTTATGAGGCTGTTGTAACTGATTACAACCCTGCTGATGTATGTTTAGATCTTAAAATAGTTCTGAAAATTCTTGATTACTGCATTTATATTTTACCTGGTGAACACATTTGAATCGTCACTGGACTGATTGTCATTTGAATTTGATGTTTAGGTCCTTTAGGGTGACCTATGTAGTTGAGTTTTTTTGCCCACATGTAAGATGCCTTTGGTTTTGTTTCCCCATGCACAGAGAATGACCAGTATGCAAACATTTTATATTTATTTCATTTAGGATAAATGTGTCTCTCTTTATTGTTTCTAAACTCTTGTAGGATAATAATGAAGTATTCACCTTTTAATCTAGATGGAAATAAAAAAGCTGAAGTGTGATTAGAACCCAATCCTGAAAGTGCATGGCAGCATGAGAGGCTTTTTTTTTAATAACTTTTCAGTAATTTTTTATCCTAGCTTTTCGATTGTTTCTTTCTCGCAGGGTCGGCATGCTTTGGTTTATGATATTAATAAAGTACATGAGACTTGGGAATGGGTTGATCTCAAAGAGGTATATATTTCGTATGTTGTGCTGCATATATAACAGCAGTAATTAATTAGGTTTTTAAATTTTATTTAAGGTTGTGATTTTGATAGGCCAGTTAATAGTTATTTAAGGTAGGGTAGTTAGTCAAAGAAATACCAAGGATTATGTTAGAAAGTAGGGAAATGGGCCCATTAAGGGTGTGGGTTTATGTTAGCAAACATGTAGCTGTATATAAATAGAAAGAGGGCTGAGAAGTATTTGTCTTGTCATTTAACACCCTCTTTGAGTGATAATTTTTGCTGTATGTGCATACACCCTCATACATTGTGAACGTGTAAGCTGTTTGTGCAAAATCATGTTTCTTGTAATGCTACAGATCCTTGACTGTTTCTACCCACCCTGAAAGAGATTATGTTGCAATAACCAAATACATAGAAGTTGGGTTAAATGATCTTTCATAATTTACTTACAAATATAAATATACCATGTCAATTACAGATCTCACCGGAGGATATAAGATGGGAAGGTGAAGATCCAGGCATAATCCATAGAGGTGGACATAGTGGGCACGGTCGTGGGGTTAAGAGATTCTTTGGCCATGGTGGTGATTCTTTAGGTGCAGGAAGAGGGAGAGGTCATCCTAGGCTTCATACCAGACAAGAATTTCACCCACCTCAAAATGGTATTGGGAAGAGAGTTTTGGATGACATTGAATTGCTGAACACAGATTCTCTAGTTAAGGAGGTAGTATGATATGCCTAAGCAACCTCTTTAAATCCAAAAGAATAAACAGTGAAGGTTTTTTATTTTTGAAACATTGATGTTATAACAGGTGGAAAGGATTGTTGCTACAAGTGCTCCAGATTCAATGGAACTTGAGAAGGCAAAGCAAATGCTGAAAGTAAGTCAACCTTCCATCATCTTGCTTTTCTCATCTTGAATCCTTTATACCCACTGTTGTTGTTCACAGTTGCTTGAATTGTTGTATAGGAGCACGAGCAAGCACTTGTTGACGCTATTGCAAGGATTGCAGATGCATCTGATGGTGAAAGTGGTAATAATTAGCCGTCTACATAATCATGCTGCTTACTGCTGTATATTGAAACCCCTTATGTTTTTTTCTTTTTTTGTTCAGGTCAGACAAATAAGCCTTTTGTAATTTAATAAAATCAACATTTTTATTATACCATCTGGGGCAAAACATGTGCTTTTCTTCATTTTGGATCAGAACAGAATGAAGGTTCTTCTTATTTTATAGCTAATGTTTGGTTTACGCATATTGAGAAAATTGTCTTTTTTTTCTGTGCTCGTTAAGAGGACTTTTGAAAAAAAAAGGCAAACAAGTCAAGTTCTGTGTGCTTATTTAATAAATTTGTTTTAACATTGTCTTTCAATGAGGATTGTTTGCACAATTGGTGATCACGGTCACCATAATGTTTTAAGGATTAAGCAGAAATGTATATCACAATCACAAATTATTGTGTAACTTTTCGCTGTGCCTTCCTACAGATGAAGAACAGCCGTTTTTGCAGCATGGACAATTAATAGAAAGGGGATAAGAGCACAGGAAATACTGCATGTTGGAGGTAATCTGTTGCACAGAAAACGTTATATCTTTAAGCTCTGATGATCTCGTGAACTGTAATATTGGAGAGATGAATGGGTGGACAGCTTATGCATGCACTTGTAGGATCCAACAGCAGCAAATGGCCAATACGATTTTCTTCTTACTGATGCATTTTCTGTCTTTCATTTATTACTCTTCCTGACTGTTGCCACATGTACGAGTTTTGTACTCAATGACGATTTTGAATACAGGGAGCCCCTCATTTTATCAATTCTTCAGTCTGCATGCAACTGTAAAATACTATAAGTAAAATATTATAAATTTATCTGTCATGAATTTCTTTATGCTTTCTCTTTAACAGATAATATCAATGTCTTCAATGCAGTTCCTGTAACGTAACAATGTAACCATAAAGAAAATAAATAGTAGACAAATTGCCTTTTTGCAGCAAAAAACATCAAAGGTGGAAGGGTAATCCTAAACGCATCTAATAATTCAGGACCTGATCAGCTACGGCCTGTGGTCAAAGTTTATGCGGCTCAACCCATCAGATGCAAATTAAAAGAAACATGACAAGGGAATGAAAATTTACTTAATAACAATTCAAATATATATCAACTTACAGTAACATGGACACTATGACTTCAAATTAGCAATTCTACTAACCTGAGGAAGACCTTGTAATCCACCAGGAATCATTAGATTCCATCAATTTCCAGAACGATGTTTTCATAAAATAAAAAACTAATCCCCATACCATTGTTAATACTGCAATTAAGATCCTTCAATTTATACAACAAGATGTAAATACTTCTAACGGTATATACTTTTCTAATCGTTTCATCCTATTTATGAAATAACATGATAATGTAAGAAAACTATGGCCACTGAAACACAAAAATCGGTCCTACTCATGCATAAAGCAATGAATCCTCCCACACCACAACGACAACATCCCTAATTTCGACGTACTGATCAAATTTCGTTTGCTCCATAAGCGCCTAAGAATTCTCACAGAAAAGCATTACCTGAATAGTTTGATCCATCATTCATGATAAAGCAAGAGAGCAAATTAGTAATCGATCGACTACCTCGCCATTGCTGCAGGAAGAAGTTATCAGACAGATATGATGGATTGGAATCACTAGAAGTCTGATCGGTCGAAAGATACAAAAGGTAGACGCTTCAAACTCGTAGCAGCCGCTAAAATTACCGTGCTCAATCTATCAAGTTGATTCAGAACCTGAAAAGATATTATTATACGTTAAATTTACATGTAATGTCATGTGCTTCAAATGCTATTCTTTGCATAAAATTAGATTTTCACCTTACTAACCCAAATAATAAGGACACGGAATCAACTTGATACAAGTTATCAAGCTCACCATATTTTTTCATTGTTTCTTAGTATAATCCAAATCGAATTAGATGGAACCCATTTTTTCGAATGTTACTTGGACTAAACCAAGCTTATTGTCACTTGAACCATGAAATGATTGGAGAACAAAAAAGTTCACGAAATTTGACAGTCACTTTTTCAGTGAAGTCTTCCTTTTCAATACATTTTTTTTTCATTCAAAAAAATTGAAGCCAATAAGTTGTTTAAAAAGATCTAAATTCAGTTTTATTAGCATCAATAAAATGCTTCTGAAAATCCCTTCAAGTCATGAACATGTGGATGTTATACCAAACCAAAAACCACTGAAAAGAAACATAACAAATCTCAAAAAAATGAAATCCTTCAGCTTCAACTTACGAATCAGTGCACTGTAAGAACGCATCAGAACACGAATAACTGAAATCATCATAACCAGTGGCGGAGGTTCTTGGTGTGTGAGAGGCTTGCCTCCCAATTT